TTACCCTACAATGAGGTTTCTGCACACTTCCAAAAGATGGGAAAATGTATTCTGCAACCCCTGCCTTCAGCTAAACGTATGTATGAGCCTTTCCATGAAGCATCATTTACTGTAACTAATTTAAGGTAAGATACATTGTGTAAAGTTGGAGAATAATAGAATATTTAAAAAATCTGTTATATAGTGAGTTGAAATAACTGTAATTAAGAAGAGTTTTGAACATATAATGGCATCAAACCACAACAAATGGCTACTGAATAATAACCAAGCAAACCTGAGGCAGCTACATTCAGAGTAAACACAGGTAAATCAGCAGCATGGCAAGTAAAGGAATAATATTCCTAAAAGAAGAGGGGGCTATTTTTGGTAACTTCAGGCTGTAAAAAAACTTTAGGTCAGACAATAAGGAAAAGGACCTTCAGTGAGGAAGTATTTGATGTTCACTTGCCCCAAACTACAGTTGTATACACAGGTAGTAGTTAGTCAGCAGTTTCATACTCAATTTCAAGAAAAAAGATCACAAGCATTAAATATGCATGTGTGGAAGATACTCTGCACAGGAAAAAAGCTGATTTAAAGTAAAAAGAAAAAGTGAAAACCTTTAAATAGTAAAAATAACTACTGGGCATTTTAATTAATTGCCTTTTCAAAAAGAAAGGCAGAATTAAAAACTGTTAAACAGTAATACAATTCTGTTCCTTGTTAAATATTCCAGTAAAAGAAACCCTTAGTAATTCTTAACTATAATTAGAATTTATACAATAAATAGCAAGATGAATATCCTGAAGTAGTTACAGCAGTTACGTGGTATTCACCACCAGCCCTACAAATATGGTTACATAATTCACAATACACAAACATGTGCTCTAGTATACCAACACCATTACTACCCACATGCACCTGTGTGTGAGCGTGTGCACACACACACACACACACACCAATGTACCATCACTAATATTTTGGAGGGAAAAAGCAAGCAAACAGCCGCACAAATCCTGGCATTACAAGACTGATATAGCCGGAACAGTGAGCTAGTTTATTTAATTACCATTGTGTTTCCATTAATATGTTACACAACTTCCTTCAGACCATTTTTCAAAAATTGCTAATTACGTTTCATTTCTTGGTATTTCATCCGTGTTTCAATCTGCTTATCTTGTTCTCCATTCTTCTTGCTCCCCACTGCTTGTATCAGCCATCTTAAATTACTTTTTAAAAAATAGTCATTATACTTTTATAATATTATACTTTTAATTTTCTATCATACTACATTTAAGTCAGTATTTAGTGCTAATAGGAAGAGATTTAAAATTTTCCAGGTCAAAAACATTGGCTGGTATGCCAATATGAAATCTATGTAATAATCCTCAAAAATACCCTCTTTCAATAAAAAAAATTGAACCTAGTGGTGTAAATTCAAAATGAAAAAGAAACGTCTTTCATGAGCCCTTCACATATGATATTTAAATGTCCATATATTTTGTCCACAAAGAATTTTTGTATATGGTTATGACAGAACAATTTTGTCTAATAATGTCCTACTTGTCAATCAAATTAGCATACTTAGTTGTACTTTAGAATAATTATGTGTACCATTCAGAAATATATTAAATATACACATACACATATGCATTTATATATGTACTTATCTTTATAAATCTGCAGGCTATAGCCAAAATTAAATGTTTCCATAGCAGTCTCTTATGTGAAAGAAAATTATATTATTCCTTGTCTCTCTTTTAGACTTCATGAAATGTACAAACATGAAAAGTTACCAAAGTTTCCCATATAGTTCAAATAATATTTCTAAAATAGTTTTTATTTGAAAAACTTACAGTTTACAAACATTAAGATCTGTTTTTACATGCAATTGAAGAGCTAAAAAACCTAACCCTCAGAAGAGAGAAAAGAGACTAAAAACTAAAAGATGAAGAGACAGAGTTACAAAATTACCCAATTGTGTAATTTGAGACTGCCATGAAAACCAAGTGAAACCAGGAAAATCAACAGAGAAAGCTTCAGAAAAGACGTAAACCTCCAGCAGATTTAAACGGACCACAGTGTTAATCAAGCTCAAGCTTGAGAGCCTCCGCTTGCAGGGATCTCTGAGTTCCAGAGCTGCAGGGTGTTCTAGTTGCCTAAGGGGGTCTCTGAAAATGGGACTCAAATCTCCAAGTTTCGGGTAATTCGCTGTGATTTCTTTTCTCATTCTAATAAATCTTCACATTTGTTCTTAACTCAGTATTCATAATGTTGAACTGTGCTTGCCAAATACGGTTGCTAGATGTTAGACTGCTAGGGATGTGTCAACTGGAAAAAAACTGCACAACCTAAAACTTGAGAGTTATGTTTCATTCAGGGACCTTACTGAGAACTATAGCTCAGGAGACAGCCTCTCTGATAGCGACGAGGAATTGTTCCCAAGAGGTATGGGAGGAACCAGGATATACAGGAATTGTTGCTGAAAAAAACTCCAAAACTCATGTAGTTGAACACCAGAAGATTACTGCTAATCACAAAAACCAGACCCCTCAAGTTAATGATTTTAGTGCTTTCCTATGTATGGGAAGATGCAAGAGTCTGCGCTTATTGAAATTATTCCTTTGATATGAATCTTAACCATCTAGGGCCACTGTCCTGTTTTTCTCCATCCCGATTTCCCCTCAGGGTGCACCGCTGGGGGTGTCTGTAGTGCTGATGGCTTGATGACGGGCAACATTCTTTGTCCACAGGTGCCACAGCAAATACCACAGACCAGGTGGCTTAAACAACAAAAAATTGTTTTCTTACAGTTCTGGAGGCTGGAAGTCAAGGTGTTGGCAGCTCTGGTTTCTTCTGAGGCCTCTCTTCCTCGGCTTGCAGATGGCCCCCTTCTCCCTGTCTGTGCATGGTCTTCCCTCTGTACCTGTCCAAATACCAGTCATTTGGATTAGGGCCCATCCCAACGACATTATTCTAACTTAATTACCTCTTCACAGAACTTATCTCCATCTAAGGTCACTTTCTGAGGTCCTGGGGGGTTAGAACTTCAACATATGAATTTTGGGAGGACACAATTCAGCCCATAACACCAGATTTAGCAAATAAAAATACAGAACTCCCAGTCAAATGGGAATTTCAGGTAAATAGTGAGTGGTTTTATAGCATTTGTATGTCCCAGGCAGTATTTGGGACGTATAAAATAAAATTATTCATTATTTTTCTGAAATTTGCATTTATTTAGCGGCCCTGTATTTTACTTGACAATTCTACCCCATATTACTTAAGCTTCAGGCAGGGAGAAATATTTAATGACGAAGAGATACTCAATGAGGAAAAACCTAAGGACTCATTAGAATGACTTCACTATAGAATAGACAGAGACTTTAAGGAACCTCCAGGGTAATCCTTCGTCAGAACTCAGAACCCCCGAGGCCCAGGGTTACACCACGGCTGGGAGTCCTAAGGCTTCACCCTAACCCCAGGCCAAGCCCTTCCTGAGCTGAGACAGTTACTGGAACCTCTATCTGCGTGCTCCCTTCAGGGCAGCTTCCAGAAGCAAGCCGTGAGTCAACAGGGGTGGGTCTGGCTCTCGCCCTGTCTGCTCTCACACTGACACAGCAGAGCGTCCCGGCCCTATCTGACTGTCCACTTGTCTCTTCCATCCCCAGCTGGAACACACTCTGGGATTTCTCCAGGCCCCACAAACCTGCTGCGCTTGACAGAGGCTGTGGACGGCTGGTTTGGCTGCTGTTTCCACTACAGGAGTTCTTTAGTTACAGAGCCTTTTGAGAATCCAATGAAAGCTATGGATCCTCCAGCCCCCAGAGCTCACAAATGCACCAAGACAACTGTGCATCTAACTTCAGGTGAATCATAGCCCCCCTGAAGCCCAGTTTTTGGACACACAGCATTGTGCCATGCTTACGCACTGATACATACAGGGAGGTTGCTGCCCCACCAAAACAGTGCAGCACGTGTGTCCTGAGGATCCCAGGGCACCCACCCCCAGGATGGGGCGTGTCTTGCACACAACACATTCATGGGAGTGGGGAAGCATTACAAGGCATTTCAGGATCTGCTAAGCTGCATTTTTAACAAAGGACATTTCTTAAGAAACCAGAGTTCT